TAGATAGAACAGAATGTTACATAATACTGCTGCGTTATTGTAATTCCAAGGAAACACCAACATTAATTAGTCAAGGAATAATTAACTGCATCTCGTGATGGTTCCTTTTTGCCTCTTTTACCTGCATAATTTTTTATCAACACCCTCATAGAGAGTTTTAGAGGGAGCAAACCGGGAAGAAGATTTTTCACAGGCTTCTCTTCTTCTCCTTTCCTTTTCCTTCTCTTCTTTATTTCATTCTACTATCCACTTCCTAAGGTGTGAGAATTGTGTTGAAATGATGAAAGACCTACATTGTACCACTCAGGTTTAGCCTAGGGGAGCCATGGGCATGGTATTCCCCAATTTAATTGTCAAGCCCTTATCCCTCAAGGGTTAAGGGCTAAACCCCTTGAGGGGTGTACCATTTCTTTTCCCAACAAATTCTAGGCTTACCATGGCTAGTAATGAAGATTTTCTTTCAGTGCCATACGATCTAGAAGTGCTATACAACTTTGAACATGTAGCACATTTAATCATCAACTAACCCCCCTCTTACCCCTTTTAACTCTTAAATCTTTCTATAGTGCTATGTGACCTTTGATGTCAAGCACATTTATTTTGCTTTGTAACTATTAACCATTAACTAATATGTAAAATAGTATTATAGTGTATTTGACATTGCTCTTATTCATTTATTTATTGCTAATTGCACATATTTTCAATCTCCGGCCTTTGGCATGTTTCCTTTTAGTCCTTTGCACTAATTATACTAAGCAATTATGAAAATATAACTGTGTAATGGGGATTTAGGGGAGAATGAGATGCAGACATCCTTTTGTTTCATGTATCTAGTTTAAAATTCATGACCCAAACCATTGTATCTTTCAAACAGGCCTAAAGTATCATAAATTACATGAAAAGAAATTTAACCTTTTGACTGTATAATTTTTCTAGATGATTATACTTTTTATTGTGTCATATCTTCATTAACCAAGTGCCAATGGGTGCTTTACATGCTATACCAGACCACATGTGGAGTTCCAAGTGCAATCAGCTGGTCAAAGGAAAAATTAGAAACATGGGAAGGGTTAATTTCCCCACTCTTTATGATTTTCTGGCAAACAAGGCTAAAAATTTATGTTTTAAGGGTGCATTTGAGAGGCTGTAACTCATCAATCACTGCAATAATGCCAAACAGTGAATAGTTGTTTAGTGGGGACATCTTAGAGCAGGCTTGAAACATGTAAGAAAACCAATCATGCCAGGGCATGTACACATATGCCACCCATGTTTATGCCTCAATTTTACTTTTTTTAAATCATTACTTTGGTTGCCATGTGACTTACCTATGCCTCTCCCACATTGATGATTCTGCTTTCAGCATACATTTTTTTTTCTAAAGCTGTGCTTTTTGTATTTATCACTTAATTAATTTATTAATTTATTTAATCAATTCTTTACAGTCAAGGGTTTAATAAGTACCATACAGTTCTGTGACATTTATCAAGGGATGATTTCACTTTATACCTGATGATTTCCTTGTTTGGAGTAATTTTGGTTATGTTACTAATCATTAGATCATTAGAAGTCCTAAGGAGTGAAAAATATTTCTTCAATTATGTGATTCCCTAATAAAAAATTGCCTCTTCATATTCTGGACAAACTGTATTTCATTTAATTTTGTTTATCACATTCTGTACAGTTGCAAAGAAAAGTGGTATGATTCAGTGCATTCCATTGGTATTTAATGGCAGAAGCAGAAGCCACTTTGCATTAGATTTTATGTTAGAAATTATTTGAATGATACTTCCAAAGTATAGCTAAATATAACTCATAAAATGCCTTTTTCTTCAGGGCTTCACGCAGCACTCAGATGAAATTGATCCTGAAAGAATAAGTCAGATCATTGAGAGAGCAGTGGAGGATGGCAAGTGGATTGTGGAAAAGGTATGAGTGACTTTGTTACAGTAAGCTATATTTGATGTAGCAAATTGAACTTGAGCAGATTATTTTTACAATTTGCTAGTTTCTGTTATTTCAACACAGTCCTATTATTAGTATATTATTATTATTATTATTGAAGGACAGTAAATGCATGTGACTATTAATGCCATATGGAATTAGTAAAGGACTGTGAGTGAATATTTGAGAGGCATATTGTGAAATGAAAATTTAGAATTATGCCTCCTTGACATTATTGAAGTTGAAATGAACCATATATTTTAAAATAAGAGTGGCACTATTATATAAAAGATATAATTTTATCTGATTTCAGTACTCCAAAATGAAAAAGTAGTCAGAAGAGTTATTATTAAGCTGGTATTAAAGGAAGAACCATTATCAAGCAGGTAAGGCTTAGTTGTGATATATATGGCATAGTAAAATAAGAATATTTGTTTTGAAAATTACAAAATTACAATTTAATTACTTATTTATAAATGTAGGCATGATTTGTAATATATAATAGTACAGTTTTTTTCAACAAATGTTTTCTCTTACAACAGAGCATAATGGACAAGATAGTACACAGTTTACCAGTTGAAGCCAACTCCAACCAGTTTTGGGGAGCAGCACGTATTTACACTGAGAAACCACACATTGTGAATCGTAGACTTTGTGGCATTGCGAATTTATGGATTGGTGTGTGCCAGGATGAATATTGCCGCAGTTCTCTCATTACACATATGAGCAATGTCATGAAGGTTAGGCAGGGAGCCCATATCAATTCTTGTGATATTGAAGAAAAACAAGTAGATAACTCAGAATCTGCAGACTGTGAAGAGCAAGTACAAACATTGATAAAGATTTTAGTACAGGAAGGATTTACATCAACTTTAGATAATTTAGCAGAAAGTGAGGAAGAAATAAGTGGTGCTGGAGAGGACAAAGGCAAGGAACTCCTATCAAATGCTTCAGAAGCTTCTGTAGGAAATAAAAGCATTCCTTGGCACAAGCTTGCTGAAGTGAAGGACCTGAAGATGGCCATAATACGGAAAGTTCTTCCAAGACAACTCAAGAGATATTCTCCTCTTCTTGAAGTTGTAGTTATAGGTATGAATACTGTAGAAAGAGTGCAAATACACACACTGTTATGCCTGTGTTTAGACTGGCTTAGATAGTACTTATATGTGAAGATTGTCAACAGGCTGGTATGTATATTTATAAAGTATGAGTTTTTTCTAATAGAAAAAAGCAGCTCAAGCAGAAATTCTAAGCTTCTATTTTTGCAATGACATTATTGTTATATCTTGCTTCAGCCTATGGAGACTAGTTCTTTAATGTTTTTTTTCATACAATCCTTTCAGATGGCAGGATGCTCCAGGTTAGTTTCTTCCCAGAGAAAACAGGAAGCACACAGAGCATTAGCCCCAGGATTCACTATTCCTTCAGATTTGCAAACCGTGACATCTCATTAACAGCTATAATAGGTAAATATATTAGTAATTTGTAGGTGGAGCTGGAATGTAAAGTTATGACACATGTACTCAGTTTACTTTTTGTTGATTTTATGTTGAAAAGAACTGTTATCCAAAGAAAATTTTGACATGCAAAATTAGGTAGCAGAGTAATCAAAATTAACTGTCTGATCTTGTTTGCTTGTCTCAGAAACTTGTTTATTTTTGAAGAGCATGTACATTCCCTGCTTGCTGTGATTTTAGTTTATTAATTTTATTTACACATAGATAATCTTCAGAGTTAATCATTAGGCCTGCCTGGTCTCACCTGTTACCCCATTCTTTGGAATTTTTAAAAGGAAATTTATTATATTTTTATCATTATTATTATCATTACTTTTTATTAATGATAATGGTAATAAATGATAATAAGAAGATTAATAAATTAATAATATATTAGAAATAAGATTTTTTTCTCTCAACATTGCATGCAATGGGTCAAACATGTCAGACAGGACTAGGAATTGAATTCTAGGTAACTAAGTGGTTATAAAGTAATCAATGTGTTTACAAAACTAATAACAAAACTACAATGGAGAGTACCAGTGAGTCAACTAGTACTTTGAATATATATTCTAGCATATATATGCTTTTGTAGTACAATGTGTTTGTAGAGCTCATCATGCTGTAACCCCTTTTAGGATTAAATAATAATGTTTATTTGTGATTAGGTACTGAAGAGGAGATCAAGGATAATGACCCAAACATCACATGGCTGAAACAAAATGTCCTTCCAAAACTAGTGAGATGGGCTTCTGAGATTGAGGAAGATGGAAATGTGGAAGACAGAGGATCCCTTAAGCTTGTAGACGTACAAGAATATAATAGTTTATATCAGAAACTCAAGATAAAATATGGGCAACCGCTTGTTGAGGCAAGTTTTCTTGAATTTTAAATTGGTGTTTCATTAAAGTACTGATGATGCTAATTGAATTTTATTCAGCAGTTGAATATAATCTAAATCCTAGTATCAAAAAGTGTGTCCTAAAAGTTTATAAAAATGTAATGCATAAAATACCTATGTAAAGTAAGTAGCCAGTTATACCAAAATAAAGACATGAGCATATTTTCACATTGTCATGTTCATGAGAAAAATTAATTTAATGGACCAAATAGTATAAATGTTTGTAGTTTTAGTGTCTTTATAGTCTGAATGACTTATAGGTATGTATTTCCAGATGTGGCCAGAAGTGACAGACCCAACAAAGTTTGTATTTGAAGACGTTGCTATAGCCACATACTTGATTCTCCTTTGGCAACAAGAACGAGAAAAAAAGGGACACACAGAATATCAGACATTTGCTGATCTTGGTTGTGGGAATGGACTACTTGTTTACATTTTAACAAGGGAAGGTTATAAAGGCATTGGGATAGACCTCAAGAAACGGAATATATGGGATATGTTTCCTGAGGATGTAAACTTGAAGGTAAGATTATATTTTTATAGTAGTAACAGTGCAACTGATTTTGTGAAATGCATAGCAAATGGATGTCAGCATTATTTGAATGATCAAATATACAGGTAGCAGTGAAGAATACCATAATTATAGTGGATTTTGAGTTTCAAGGAATACATTTTGTTGCAGATAGCTATTAATTTATAAGGTTACTACTCATAGTTCATCAACTACTTGAAGACAGGCCTTCACAGACCAGACTGATCTACTACGTGTTTAATTACAAGATATTTATTTTGTATTTTGATTTAACATCAATAATAGTATTACAAAGTTATGATAAGTGGATGACAACTGTTTTTTATACATTTCATGAAACTGGACAAAAGGATGCTCATTAGGACACCTGATTGATAATTTAACCATCAGATTTGTATGCTTTGCTTGTTATCCTTAGATCAAGGTAGCATTCAATAGATTCATTATGAGTCTGAGAATAATGTATTGTTTGAATGTTCAATATATGCATGATTTAAAGTGGAAAAGTAGTGCTGATACCTAATTAATATTAATGCTAACCATAGTCATAACCTAGAGCATTACTTCTGGTTACGTATGTTTTTTATCTATTTCTTTTATTATACTTTTTGCAGTATGCTTTGAAAAAAAAGAGGAAAAGGATAAAGATCTTTAAATAGTATGCCATCCATACTATTTTTTAAAATTTGTTAGGTACTGATAAATGCTATATTTGATATATATTTACTGTAGAGCAGTAGTAGAAATATAAAAGAGAAATTGGTTATATTCCAGGAAGGAGTTGTCGAGCCATCCGATAAAAATTTGTTCCCAGAATTTGATTGGCTCATTGGCAACCACTCGGATGAACTAACCCCATGGCTACCTGTCATTGCTGCCAAGTCAAAATTTACAACCTGCTTCTTTGTTATTCCTTGTTGTGCTCATGATTTTGATTGTAAATATAGAAGGAAAACAGCTAGCAAGAGCCAGTACTCAGAATATTTGGATTATGTAAAGGAAGTAGGGGCTATATGTGGCTTTGAGATGTGGCAAGACAAGTTGAGAATTCCATCGACAAAGAGAATATGTCTTATTGGTCAAGAGAGAACATATGTAGAAAGTGAGATGCCTAGCATTTTTAAGGCAATAGAGGAATTTATCAGAATTAGAAATGAAGCTAATGCTAATAATGTAGTAAATCAGGCTTCAAATGGAAGGCATGAAACTATCGCACAAAAGCATCCAAGGGAAAATTTGGATTGTGAACTTTGGTCAAACAATTTCAAGGCAAGAGAAGCTGTCCAGCCTGTGCGTAACTGCACAAAACTGGACCAAACAGTGAAAGAAGATCTCATATCAACAGTAGTTGGAATACTCATGGAAAAGAAACATTTAGTTGAGGTAAGTGAAATGAGATCTCATTTCTTTGTTTTTATGAGTCTGATAACAACTCCAATTATGTGTCCCATGAATGTGATGTTTTTTATACTAAATCACAGAAATTTTAGTTTATTATTGAAAAATGTAAATAACTAGATTGAATAAATTAATTTTTTCTTTCCATAGGTCCCTTCAACAGAAAACAGCATATTGAAATGGGATAGAGGAGGCAGCATTGTCTTAGGTGATTTAGCAAAAAGAATGTCTCCCACACAGTTATCGGCATTGAAAAATGAGTGTGGAGGTCTACAAACTTTCTTGAGGAATCATAAGCATATATTTTCCACTTCAAAGGGAGAAGTTAGTTTGCAGGTAAATACAGAGGTTGAGAATCTTCAGTTTAATTCAGTATGCTTGGTAATCACACAGTCTACTATTGTTTTCTTTTTTGCATTTTGGTTCCACAAGTGCTCAGTCACCAAGGAGCCAATTAGTAAGCGTACATGTCCTCAGCTTAAGGTATGGGCATTTTTTAAAAGAATATTATTAACATGAATGCTATTTTGTTGTTGACATTGTGATTATTCTTAGCAAAGAAAAAAAAAATCTTTACAAAAATCAAGGAAAAGCTTAAACAGGTGAACTATGTAAGATTAGTGACTCCTTGGAGTTTAGACACGAGTAACACCAGCTGAGTGCAAAGACATTCAATAAACAAAAAGACACAGTGGATATGACATGTATTCTTAAATCCCAGCAACAGTGGGTTAATAATAGTCTTTATAGTTCCAACAGAAAAAAAACTTTAGTTTAAAAGAAGTGAAAAAGTACAAATCTTTCAAGAAAGCCAAATGCATTAGTTTAATATATATATTTTTTAATGAATTTCAGGTTCCTTCACCAGCATTAATGGGAAGAGTACCAAAGAATCGAGTGAAAACTAAACAATGCTGGTTTCACAGTAATCATGCTCAGGGTTGCCCCTTACCATCAATACTGTGTGTTTATGCTCATGGTCAGGATGATCTACAGAACAACTGAGCTCCTTAATCTTCTCTTATTGCCATGAACTGTTAGCATGAACATCTCAGTATCATGATTAGGTACATTGTATATATTCTAGCATGTGACTGGTAATTTGATGGAAAAATGTTTTTCACTTTTGTTATTAAATGAAAGCCTGTAATATGTGAAAACTATTTCACAGTTTTCTATACCTCGTAGACATGTATATAAATACTGTTTTTAAATATAAATAAAATCAGTTTTACTTTTTATTTACCTTCAAAATGTTCCTAATATAGAGAATATATAGAATATATAGAATATATAGATAATAGAAAACAAAATGTAATGGTATTATTGTAAATTAAAAGTTGTTTTTGATCATCTCCAAGGCCAAAGGTTGTATGATCTCCCTAAACTTGGGCCTTGGTCCCTTTCCTTTTCTTTCTCCCCTAATCTTATTGGGGGGGGGGCTTGTCAGACAGACACTGAGACCTTTTGTTGGAGAACTCCCTTACCTTGGCTCAATCAATTTTGTACAGTCTTTGTTTGTCTCTCCCCTTTCCTTTTCCTTCTCTTCTCCAGCCCCTTCTTCTGTCCACTTCTTAAGGTGTGCCCCCCCAATCCTTTGCCCGTTGTTGTCATCGGGGGGCTTAGGAGGTGAGGACTGGGACCTAATGCTGGAGATCTTCCCTGCCTTGGGCTTCAGCCCTCAACTCAACTAATTTTGCATGGTCTTTTTCCCCTTCCACTTTTTCGTTTACATCCCATCTCAAACTCCTTCTACTATCCACTTCCTAAGGTGTTAGAGCCGTGCTGAAAAGATGAAAGGCTGACTTAGTGCCAGTCCTGAACCGCCTGAGGGAGCCATGGCCATGGTATTCCTGTTTTAGTTGTCTAGCCCTTACCCCTCAAGGTGGACCGTTTCTCTCCCCAACATACTCTAGGCTTACCATGGCCAATAATGAAGATATTATACCCTTGTTAGGGGCAATGAGGCTTGCCCCTTCATCAAATAGCCTCCCCTTCAATGTCAAAATTGTTGGCATTGAGGACATCCTGCCAAACACTGCCGTTCCACAGCCCAATGCCTACTATGTACCCAACCTGGTCTGTATACCTGATGGCAATCTTCCTGGTCAAGTCTCCACACTAATAAAGTACATACTGTAAAACTATCAATTTCCTCCTAGTCAGCTCCTTTCCATCTGAATAGATGTTGTGAAACAGCTCTCGCCTGCTTATGTATTGGCGACATCCATCTAACACACTCCTATCTCATGTCACGTTTAGATCTGCCCCTACGTTCCCCATGTAATGTCCATCTTTCAGTTCCACACATTCTGTTGTCCTGTCCACACTTTGATACAGCCCATAACTCTGTTTTCCCCCACCTATCCTCCTTCACCGACCTCCCAACCTATCAGACACCCTCACAGAATCTCACACTTTCTGCTTTGACAACCTGTTCTCCTTTCTCAGACATATACATATTGTTCACTTGATCTAATCCCCCTTTCCTAACCCTACCTTAACCCAACAACTCATCAACTCCTTTACCCATCTTAACCTTTTCGATAATAATCTAGATAGTTGAAGAATAGCAACTAACTACTAACTTAACTGCCTTTCACTGTCCTTTACTGTAACTGTGTACAGTGCTACATGACCTTAGATATCTAGCACATTTATTTTGCTTTTAACAATTAAACATTCTTAAGATGTGAGAACCATGTTGAAAGGATAAAAGGTTGGCTTTAGGTCAGTCCTGAACAGCCTCAGGGAACTTTGGGCATGGTATTCTCCTGTTTAATTATCTAGTCTTTACCCCTCATGGGGACCCTGAGGAGTGAACCATTTCTCTTTCTCAAATACTCCAGCCTTATCATGGCCAATAATGATTTTGTAACATTTGTAGGGGCATTGAGGCTTGCCGCTTTATTAACTAGCCCTACTGACTTATATTTTCTGGTTCCTTGACCTCATCCTCCACAGTCTTCATTGTAAAATCTCTTCTCCCATATTACTACCCTTCACCCTTATTGTACACCTCTCTGCAGTACTGCCTCACTCAACACCACTCCCTCTTCCTCCCTTCCTTATACTTCATCTACTTCCACCTCAACAAATGTCTTCTAGAACAAGTAGGAAAAGTTTCCTTCCATAGCCGTTCTGATCAGTTACGTCTTGTCACAGTTACATCTGAGTCCCAGTTGTGTGCATTATCTACCCTGACTGACCTCACTGGCAAGCCTATTCCTGCCCAGCCCCATTCCTCCCTTAATACTTGTACTGGGATCTCCCAGATTGATTGCCCTGTCTACAACAAGGATTGGTCACACTGAAAACCTGCTTGCCTGCCTGTTTTATAATGTAGGATCAGTACAGTGCTACACTATTCCCCCCCCCAAAAAAGTCCTATACCAATATTGCCAAGATTATATATAGACATGATCTCCACCATGAAATTTATATTCATGGAGAATCCTGCCTCTCCAACCATTTTGACCCAAGATATTTCTACATTTCCAAAAGTATCTCTTCTTCCTATGTTCCTCCTACTTCTACCCTCTCTCTTCCAGTCAAATTCTTTTGTCATTCCAAATCCAGACACTAATCTCTACCACTTCCCTGGAGCCTACCCCTCCTCCATCTGGCTCTACCCATCACAACAGAAAGTCTTAATATTACACCCCATCTTTTCCTACCGCATCCTTTCCTACATATACGTCTTCCTCTACTCCTTAGATGTATATCCCCTCTTCTCCCCCTTATATGAACTTCATTTTTCATACCCCCCCAACCAACTTCCTTTCAAAAATTCTAAAGGATATTAAAAACTTTCTAATCAATAAAAAAAACATGCCTGACCCTCATCCACCCCCTCAATCTCCCATTCCCTCTACTCTCAAAGTAACTGCTGACATCTGATCCCTCTACACCCCATCCTCCCCTGCACCATCTACACCAGCACCCCCCCATCCTTCCCTAGAAATACACTTGTGACTCCCTTCTATTCTCACAGACCTGTATCTTCCATTACACATTCGTTAGGTTGATTATAGATTCTTTTCATTGTATTATTTGTGTCATTTTAAATATTTTTGTATTATTCAATTTTCCTGTAACACAACCTATGCTGCCAGTCATGTAAGGCAGGAGTAGGATCCTGAACAAGATAATACAGTATTGTCCTCCCTAGAGATGGTGATTTTCCAGCCATGGTTCATGGTACATTCCACCCTCATTTACCAGTGGAAATAATGCAAAAGCCCCTTCCTAAATGTTCATTGTATTTAATTTCCTCCATGAACTTTGTGCACTCATGTTGAGTCATTCTCAACAGCCTGGCCCTCAGTCAATTTTTACATGGTGTAACAGTTACATTACCAGGCTCTAACATGTTATGGGACTGTTTGCAAAATGCCAGTCATTACCATTAGAAAAGAAACTTAATATAGGGTTATTTTCAAATAACTTCTTTCTTATCATGAAAATTATGCTACCTTTTCATGGACAATGCCTTGGAAATACTTTTAATTAATAGTGAATACTAAAACATTAGAAATATTTTAGTAAATACAAGATATTTTTTGGATAAATTTTATGAATTAAAGTACATTATATATATATATTTTTTATTATTTGAGTAACCTAAACTCTACTTAGTGACATACAACTTAATCATACATAATCATTCCATATTCTCTTCCTCTGGATGAGCCTCCTGATATCTTTTAACTTCATCCTGTGGGGGAAAAACTGAAGCTGTAGTTCATAATTTTTGATACTATATAGAAGCACAGGTATAATATACAACAGATCTCAGATCTAAGTATCTTACTATTTTTTGCAATATGTGATATATATTTATAAAATTCTTATAAGGAGTTCCTAATTACTTTTATCAGAGGGGAGTGTAGGCCACTAATTTGCAGGTCCTCAAAGATTTTAACATCTAGGGTACTGTCCTGTTAACATTCAATGGTATGGTACAGATTTTCCACTAAAATTGACCATAAAGAAGGATATTGTCAACTGGAAGAACCCGGCTATGGTGTGACAGTCCCTTGTTTACTTACCTTAATCATTTGTCTAATAAATTCATTCTGTTCCTTCAGCTCCTTTAGTGCTTGCCGAAGTACTTGGACAGCTGGAACTTTATTTGTCTGTATACGAACATGTATTTTGCGCTCCATTGGATGAGGAACTGTATATCCACAGAATGAGACAGCTGGGCTGTAAAGAAATGAAGTAGACAAAAAAATGCTTATTAAATAATATGACATTACCATTTATCAAAAACAAATAAAAGGACTGTACTTCATATATATGAAACAACATACTGTATTATGAAAGACTCCATAAATCATTCTTACTTTTGTATGATTATGTGTTTCAATGCATTTCCTAATGTGTGGTCTTCTTCATTGATTACAAAAGTACGGCAATACTCATCTTGCCCTGGCCCCACCAGCTGTAAAGTAAATATACAAATAAAATAAATTTACAAATATGCTAAACTGAGAGAAAATTTTTAATTTCAAATAATGAGAAAATGGAAGATAATATTAGTATAGAGTATACAAATACTGGTACTTTTTTATTACTTTTAGGTAAATTCTTGACCATATTTGCATATTATAACCCATCAAAATTAGTAACACTGGACTCCTCATTATGCATTTACTTTGGTTTTATTTGGCACTAAGTGATAAAAATGAGAATATAAGACCCACTGGGTCTTGTATTGTCACTTTTGTTGGGCATGAGGTATTTTTTTAATATGAGAAGGCTAGAAAAAGTGGTATTAATGTATTTCTGCCATTGTTTGGTGGGCTCCTCACCCTGTCTGAAATGCATGAGTTAACGTGAATGTTTTTAGATGTTTATATTGTGTGTCTATGAGTCAGACTGTTCATTTCTGATATATTTGTTAGATGCCAATAGAAGTTCAATATTAAATTCAATAGATTTTAAAATGCAGATATGTTCTAATAAATTTTGGATACTCTTTATGCTATGGAAGCACTAAACTTGGGCTCTCTAAAGATGATATTCTTGTTGAGGACAAAAAGTTGCAGTTGTTGATATAAGAAATAATCTGCAAACATGAACAGTAATGCCAGAAAAAAAGGAAAAATATCACAGAAAGTACTGCTCACAGCCTAAGTCCATTCTGCTCCTGAGTTTCAGCTCTATCTTGCCTTACATACCAAGGTGAAGACAAGGTTTGATGGGGGTGTTGGGTGGCAAAATC